AATAATATAATAATAATAATAATAATAATAATAATAATAATAATTATTATTATTATTATTATTATTATTTTATTATTACATTATTTCAAAACTGATTCATTTTGTGTAAACCATTATTCTCAAATGTAGCATTATAAATACTTTTAATGTCTCAAATCAATTTAACATTTAAAATGTTTGATTTAATATGTATTGATTAGGAAATATATATTTTTGCCAATTTAGAATAATAAATTAACCATGTGAATCCAGATCAGACTGCTCAGCTACTTTTCTTGTCGCACAATACAAAGATATGTCAACAGAACACATTACTACAACTATCGAAACCAATGGTCATGTGAATCATTTAGGTATTTTTTGGGGTCAGTTAACCAACAAAAACAAATAAAATCCAACAAAATGTCACGATCAGAAGTAGATATAAAGGATGATTTTTACCTCTCCCACTAGAGGCGTTTCACCATCTGATTCAGTGACCCAAACTTTAGCTGCATGTCCCCTGTCGACTGTGTCATACGGTCCGTTTAACCTGCGCCCTGTGGATACGGCAGGATCCTGTAATGAAGAAAATATGTAGAGATGCTCAACAAAACAGCTAAATACCCTCAAATAAAATCATATTCAGCTAAATGACTCAACATTTGCAACTGTCCAAAAATAAGAAGTGACTGGTCAACCTATTAAACCTTGTGTATTATTCAGATTGACTACTCTTACATTATGTTCAGGGCTGTTTTAGCCCCATTGACTTAAAATGACATTTTTTGTTTGCGGAGCCATGAACCAGCTACAATCAAGAAGGCATGATTATAAGATGTCATGCATTGTAATCAAAAAATCTCATTATAATGAACGTCAATGGGGCAAAAACAGCCCCGAACACAAAGAAAGGGTAGTCAATTTGAGTGTATTGTTGAATTTTTGAAAATTTTCAAAGCATTTTCCTAAATTATGTGTCAAAATAAGTTCACCAAATATCATCCCATTTGCTGAAACAGAGAAAGTTATGATTGAATTAAGAGTCAAAATCCCCCCAGAGTGGATGAAAACATCCCCAAACAGCACTCAAGGGTTAAATAGTATGAATATGATACCATTATACAGCATTTATAAACCCACAATATCAATCTCTCACCAGTATGACAATGTATTTCTGTCCTTTATCATGCATGTAGTCAGCAAAGTTGGGCAGATCCGCAAATTTCACCAAATCATAGGTAAAGATCTTTTTTTCCTCCATGTAGTCAATGTCAGTGTACTGGACGTCCTGAAACACAAAATATATAGACATAAATATTCATGCTACTTTGACATTTTGATTTCTGCTTCCCCTAATTATGTTGTTTGACTTTACTGTCAAATTAGAATAGTCCGACAAATTATTTAAAGGGACAGAACACCTAAATTTACTCATTTACTCTCCCCTTTTTATACATGCTACAGATGCATGCATATCTGTTGGACACAAAAGGAGATGTTTTGAAGAATGCTGGTAGCTGCCACCCATTGACTTTCATAGTATTATTGTTTTTTGTTCTTACTATGAGCTCAAATGGTACCACCAATCAGCTTTCTTCAAAATATCTTCTGTAAAACTCATAAAAAGGCATAAAACCATATAAGGAAATGTAAATGATGAGGTAATTTTTATTTCTGTGTAAGGTGAACTATCCCTTTACATTATTGTGAAATAAAATTGAAAAATTGATTATATGACTGCTTGTCATCTTCTTTCAGCTTTGAGTCTATGATAACCCATAAAATCCTACGGTAAAAAGTTGTAAAATATTTATACAAATAGAAGACATTGTTAACATATTAAACATAACTGGAAGTCATATTATGTGCCTGTTTTTGAAATTTGGGTTAGAAGCTTAAGTTTTGTGTTGCCCATGGAGAAATGCGATATGGGATGACAAATAAACTAAACACATTTTTAAAAATCTGGAGCCCAATTATGTTCTATATCAGTAATGCTAACTTGTAACTCTTTATAAGTGAGATTGGTCTGGAGTAAGTCGAATTGTGGAGCCTATGCATTTCTCTGTAAATTATTTTTGTTTCATATTTAAATCTATTTATTTCCTTATGCTTTCTGGATCATGTTGTATTATGTTGTGTCTGACTATTTGTATATTTTGAAATGGCCTTTGTAACCCCGCCTTATTTTTATTTATTTATTTTTTTATGTTGTTTTTTTTTCTGTTTATGTTGTTGATTATTTGTTATGCTAAAAACAATAAAAAGATTAAAAAAAACAAACAAAAAAACATATTAAACATAGTAATTCTGTCATCTCTATCTCGAACCTTTTAGCACAGACAACCGTTTAAAGATGTATACTTGTGATTGTAACCCCGCCAGTTCTACACCACCACCCAACCCACTCTTAGCTGGGCGACTCTCCGCATGGAAGACAAGGAGGCTGAAAATCATGGCCTCTATTGTCACTTGAGCATCTTTTAGAGGTCAGAGGAGTGAGGTTTACCTACACAGCACTTTACTAGCTGGCCTTTGTGACACTCACCCCCCTAAACCTCCCTCCCATCCGGGTCACGGCACCAATACAACCCACCGGTCCCATACCACCCAACCTGCTTCGAGCTGGGATCAAACCGGCTACTCTCCGCATGTGAGTTTGCTGCTCTAATAAGGAGGCTAAAGACCATGGCCTCTAGCGTCAGTTGCTAGAGCGCATTTTAGAGGTAAGAGGAGTGAGGTTTACCTGCACAGCACTTCACTAGCTGGCTTCTGCTACACTCACCCCCATAAACCTCACTCCCATCTGGGTCACAGCACCAAAGTAACCCCTCCGGTCCTACACCACCCAACCCGCTTCAAGCTGGGATCGAACTGGCGACTCTCCGCATGGGAGTTTGTTGCTCTAAAAAGGAGACTAAAAAAATGGCCTCTGGTGTCTGTCACTGCAACACCTTTTAGAGGTCAAAGGAGTGAGGTTTAGCAGCAGAGCACTTCACTAGCTGGCCTCCGTTACACTCACCCACCTAAACCTCACTCCCATCCGGGTCACGGCACCAATGTAACCCTGCCGGTCCTACACCATCCAACATGCTTCGAGCTGGGACAGAACTGGCCATTCTCCACATGACAGTCGGTTGCTCTAACAAGGAGACTAAAGACAATGGTCCCTAGCATCTGTTGCTAGAGTACCTTTAGAGGTCAGAATAGTGAGGTTTACCTGCACAGCACTTCACTTGCTAGCCTCTGTTACACTCACCCCCCTAAACCTCACTCTCCTCCAGGTCATGACCAATCCTACACCACCTAACTTAAACCGACGAGTTGGGGTAGAACCAGCAAGTTGGGATCGAACCGTCAACTCTCCCTTTTTTTTCGGTATATATTAGGTGATTGACAGGTTGCTCCACCCCTCACATTAGTAAACACTTTAGCAGTGAAGAGATGTCCAAGTTATTTGTTTCCTTTTGTACAATAAAACAATAAATAAAACTGCAACAGCAATTAAGAGTCCAAGATTTGCGGCTTGTTTGAACTACTTAACTAAATGATTTGAATAAACACCATCCTTAAGTTTTTTGGGAAGACAACCTAATTGTTTTATGTTTAATCCACTTAAATTTGTAAAAACAATTAAACTAAGTTGATCAATTTGTGTCGAGACAAAGGATCTGTGTGGAACTCTGCATTTTTTACACTGACTTAATATGCCCAGACAATTCTGTTACTGACCACTAGGTGGCGACTGTGCAGTTACACTCAGGCTACGGTTGTCTAAAAACATCAACTATGCTCTGAATATTCAACAGCCTCTTGAGTATTTACACTTTACTGCTGATATTTTGCACGACGGAACTGTCACTTCACCGTTGACTGTTTTGGTTTCATCCTGGACGCTTTTGACTTCCATCAAGCATCAGCAGATGGTGAGATTCTCCTGCCAGTAATTTCCTCATGCTAATCAGACGGAGATGCAATACCCTGACATGCTAATGCCGTCTTTGTTCAAATGACATCAAACATCGGGCTTCAGTACATCTTTCGGCAATTAAAGCCTTACCATAAGGAGCTAAACGCTTTTAACAGCATATATAGGTGAGATTGGCATATGCGGCGTCATTATTCATGAACGGTAAGCTTTGTTCTGTGGGTTTTTGAAGCGCTGGGTGGAAAAGAGTTCTGCCGAACAAAGCGGAGACCCTCCTTACTTTAATCTTAATTAGCAATGGCAAAGTTTTCATTTGACCGTGGAGGGATCCTGATGACTCTGTTGCAGTAATGACCAGCAGAATGCTAGCTGTTTAATTATAAATAAAAAAGATCAAAATACTTTTTTTGCATACTTTGTTTTTTAATTTATTGTTATTATTTTATTATTTTTAATTATTTATTTAACACCAGCTGCTTAACAATAAATAATATCAAAAGACCATTTATTTGCATTATTTATTTATTTATTTATTTATTTATTTATTTATTTATTTATTTATTTATTTATTTATTTATTTATTTATTTATTCATTTATGTATTTATTTATTTATTTATTTGATTATTTATTTCATACAAGCTGCTTAACAATAAATACGTAGATAAAACAACCAGGTTTTTGCATACTTTATTTATTTATTTATTATTTCATTATTTCATTATTTATTTATTTATTTATTTATTTATTTATTTATTTATTTATTTATTATTTCATTGTTTTAAATGTATTTATTTATTTATTTATTAAATACCAGCTACTTTTAGGAACTGAAATGACCAGGTTTTTGTATTCTTTATCTATTTATTTATTTATTTTTATTTATTCATTCATTTAATGCCAGTTGCTTAACAATAAATAAGGAGATCAAAAGACCAGATTTTTGTATACTTTATTTATTTATTTATTTATTTAGTTATTTATTTATATATTTATTTATTTATAACTAGTTGTTTAAAAAAAGAGATCCATCGAACAGGTTTTAGCATACATTATTTATTAATTTATAATTATTATAATTATTGTTATTATTTTTTTATTATCATTATTATTATTATTATTATTATTATTATTATTATTATTATTATTATTATTATATTTTTAATTAATCAATTAATTAATTTATTTATTTAATACTAGTTACTTAACAATAAATGAGGAGATCAAAAGACCAGTAATGTTGATTATTTGATGAATTAATTTATTTATTTACAGTATATAATACCAGCAACTTAACAATACACAAAGACATCAAAGAACCAGTATTTTTAATTAACATTTTACTTTTTGATACTTATTATTTTGATTTGTTATCATAACTATAGACACTTAAAATGTGCGTGTTTTATTTTTCATTTTAGGTGAAGTTTGTTTTCGTTTTATTTGTATTTTTCTAGATTTGCTGGTAATTACTTTAGTACTTCAAAGGAAAAAAAAGTGTGATTATATCTTGGTAACTAACATATAAATGCAAATTTGAATAGTTTATTAATCATTCACTTACGCAATCTAAGTAATCTTAAAATAATACCAACTATTCTTAAAGTACTAGTTTGTAAAAAATGAAAAACTCAGTTTAGTATTGAAAAATAAACCATTAAAGTATGAAAATACAATCATTAGTCAGGAATAAAGCTTGTATGGCTGTATCTCTTTATTTACTTACATCTATTAATGTTAATGCTTAACAAATAATTAACTAACTATTTGCTAATGTTTAATAAATAATTAATACAGTGTAGTTGTTATAAAGTGTTACCAAACCATGTTGTTGTAGTTTTAATTTTAGTTTTAGTCACTCGTGCAATTTCTATATTTGATTATTTACAGCTATATGTTATTATACAACACTTACGTATGGCAGGCTGGCATTTCGGTTTCTCTCCACCACTTCTTTGACCGCATCCAGGCTGCCGTAGTCCCAGCGAGAGATCTGGAAGCCCAGAGACCAGTATGGAGGGATGAAAGGCCTGCCAATCAGCTGGAGACACATAAAGCAAATGTTAAACACGCTCGACATCACAGGACTCCCTCAGGCGGATCTGCACGCTTCATCTGGGCCTATACTGTTTTACTTTTATCTTAATCAGCATTGACCAACTTTTAAGAAGTTCATAGAGGGATCCATACCTGGACTCTGTTGCAATAATGACCAGCAGAATGCTTGTAATAGCTGCTTAACAATAAATAAGGAGATCAGAAGACCATTATTTGCAAACTTTATATTTTAATAATTAATTAATATTATTACTATTATTATTATTATTATTATTATTATTATTATTATTATTATTATTATATATTAATAATAATAATAATAATAATAATAATAATAATAATAATAATAATAATAATAATAATAATAACATTTTATTTTATTATAACAATTGTAATTGTTGTTTTTATTTCTGTTTTAGGCAAAGCTTGATTTAGTATTTATTGACCAGCAGAATGGTTGTAACAGCTAACTAACAATAAATAAAGATATCAAAAGACAATGCATAATTTAAATTTCAACTGTTTTTATTTTATTTATTACATTTTATTATGTTATAAACAATTAAAGTCATTATTTTTATTTCTGTTTAAGTTTGGTTTAAAGTTTGATTTAGTTTTTATAGACCAGCAGAATGCTTGTAACAACTAGCTGACAATAAATAAAGAGAGAGACATCAATAGACAATGTTTTGAAAAATGTATATGACATTTTTGTTTATTAAATTATTATTTTTTATTTTATCTTAAATATTAAAAATTGTTTTAGTCCAATATTATTTTAGTTTTTATTCACCAGCAGAATGCTTGCATTATTATTATTATTATTATTATTATTATTACTTATTACTTATATTATTATTACCTATTTATTTTCTTTTCGGCTTTTCAGATTATTAATTTGGGGTTGCCACAGCGGAATGAACCGCCAACTTATCCAGGATATGTTTTACACAGCGAATGCCCCTGCCAGCTGCAACTCATTACAGAAATGCCAACTGACCAAGCCGGGGGCTCGAACCAGTGACCTTCTTGCTGTGAAGCAATCATGCTACCCACTTTGCCACCATGATGCCTATTATTATTAATTAATTATTATTATTATTATTATTATTATTATTATTATTATTATTATTATTATTATTATTATTATTATTATTATCATAAATAATTAAAATATATTTTAGTTAAAGTTTATTTTTAATTTGTATTTTTAAATGTATTGGCAGTTACTTTAGTCACTTAAAATAATTGAGAAATGATATCTTGATAGCTATATGGGCCTACGTTTTTTACGTTAATCTTAAGTAGCATTGACAAAGTTTTGAGAAGTTCATGGAGGGATCCTGATGCCTCTTGCAATAATGACCAGCAGAATGCTTCTAACAGCTACTTAATAATAAATAAAGACACTCCAGGATCCCTATTTGTATTTAATATTTTACTTTTTAACACAAACTATTTTAAATTGTTATGATAATTATAAACGCTTAAAGTGTGCATGTTTTATTTCCATTTTAGTTCAAGTTTGACTGAGTTTTTATTCGTAGTTAATTTAGTACTTCAAAGGAAATACGAGAGTGATTATATCTTGTGATTATTTCTTGGTGACTAATTGAAATAAAATATGTTTATTCTAGGCAAGGCAATCTGGCATTAAAATACAATCTACTAATGGGCTAGGCAAAAGCAATCTTATAACAAAGGGAAAAACAAGACTATTTGCTTAACACATTGGCAGATTGTTTTGATAAAACTTCACTTTGAAAAACTTTAAAAAACTTCACTTAATTTTGCCACATTATTTCTGAAAACAAGACAATATTTTAGCTTATTGATTTAAGACTTTTTAGATATTTGAACTAGAATAAAGACAACAAATCTAGCAGGGTATATACAGGCATCAGAGATTGAAATGTAACACCTTTTAAGACCCCTTTTACGACTCTTTGCATAGATTTCAAGACCTCATCACCAATTTATTTTTTCAACCAGTAACACTGTCAACATTTTAACTTGCAGTATATTTCCTAAATACTGATTGCATGAAACTAATCCTGAACTAAAACATTGTTCGAATACTAAACAAAAATGTTAATCCAGCAGGTGGTGCCTTTACAACAGCAGGAATAACAGTGTTTCCCTGGTTACTGCAGTAAACAAAGCAGTGATGTCAAATCTAGCAGGAATGTTTTGATTATATAAACCACACAGCATCCCAAAATGTAAAGCTTAAATTCAGGAAAACTTCATATATTGATACCAAATTTAAAACCTTGTAAAATAGCATTTAAGACTTTTTAAATACTTTTAAGCCCTAACATTTTCTCAAAACATTTAAGACCC